GGTAGCCAGATAGCTCACTGTATCTCTTAGGAGTAACGGGGGAGCCAGAAACTAGGAGGTTTGATTGAAATCCCTCCTCGTGGAAGGAAAAACAGTAGTATGGAAGAAACATGTTCTTCCCCAACAAGTTAGGACAATACTTGGTCTGATGGAAAGCAGCAGTAGAAATTATAAACAGCATACACATTGGCTGTGAAGTGTACTCTGGTATATTCATAGTGGCTTTGATTTCCAACCTATATTTAGAGGAATATTAAATGGATACTTGACCCAGAACAACATATTTGAACCGCACAGGTCTATTTATATGTGAATTTTTTCTACAGTATACATGGGGTTAGTTGTACTACAGTACCACATGGGGTTAGTTGAATCCACAGATAGAGGAACTGCACATAAGGAGGGCTGAGTAAGTGATACACGGATTTTCAATTGTATGGAGGGTCAGTCGCCCTTACCCCCATGTTGTTAAGGGGTCAGTGTATAATTCATGAGCATGTGATGGCGGGGGAGATAAAGCAAGCCAATTAGAATGTAAATTTTGTAAAAGCAATCCCTAAATATGTAGTCAGAACCTGGCTGCTAATGAAACATTGGATCTACTCAGAGTCATAACATAAAAAAAATTTTAGTGGCCATTTCATATGAATTTTTTTCAGCATTAAAATTTATTTATTTTTTTAGATTACCAAGAGAAATATCAAGAGCTACTTGAAAGAGAAGACTTTTTTCCAGATTATGAAGAAAATGGAACAGATTTATCGGGGTCTGGTGATCCGTAAGTTCTCTTTAGCTACTTTCATTGTGAAATTTGTGGCCAGAGTTTAGGAGTTTAGAAAAGAAAAGATGATGAGTGTGCATTCTTATTTGATGGTGTTATAGTGGTATATGAGTAGTAGTTATTTACCAAAAATTTCAGAAAATCATATTAGGAAACACTATGATTCTGAAAATTTACATATAGTTGAGGGAGTTAAAAACTACTAATGGAGCATATTGAAGCTATGAGTTTTTATAAAATAAGATACTTTTATTATGCCTAACACTTTAAGTAAGTGGCTCAAATACTGTAATATCTTGGGCAAGTTCTGTGCCTGTTTCTCCATGTATTAAATAGGAATAGTAGTACCCCTCGAATTTTTTTGAGAACTAAATGAGATACACAAATACTTGGAACAGCCTTCTGGTACAAGTAAAAAGCTCAAATCTTAGTTGTTAAAGGAGTTAAAATTAAAACAAAACTATATAAAAATATTTGGGCTGATAGGAATATGTAAATTAGTCTCATCACCTGCCATTCTTTGTAATATTACTCATTTATCCTTAGATTGTGCTACATTTTGTATATGGAAGGGGCAAGAACTTTTGAGGTTTAGTCCCAGTTCTGTTAAGAATTCATGTGAATGTGGACAGGCTACTTAGATTCTAGTCTTCATAAGTGTGTGCTGTAGGTTTAAAAAAAAAAAAAAAAGAACCACATTCTGTCTCCAACTAGTGACATTTTAATTATATCAGTGTAAGATTTTCTAATGTTGCTATACCTTTATATACTAGTTTTAGTAGAAAAAAAAAATACAGGGCAGTGCTTCCAAGCACAGTTAGGGAAGTTCAGCCCTGCTGAGTGTACCATTGGAAATTGAAGTTGTCCTTGGCATTGAATTTCAGGTTATCCTGTAAGGTTTTGCTTGGTAAGCGTTACATTTTCTTTGCCCTAATGAACTTGTGGCATTTCAGCACATGGCCTGCACTAGAAATGGGACAGGAACAAAGAGAAAAAGACCTATCAGCAGTTGGTAGGATTGGCAAGATAGTTTTGTCACATATGTAGGTGGAAAGGGTTATGGGGGTGGGGAGACACACGCCATGCTTTGTGGCTTAGCATCTTAGACATTTTCTGAATTGTAAAACATTACATCTTTGCTTCTTTCACAGATATTTGGATGATATTGATGATGAGATGGACCCAGAGATAGAAGAAGCTTATGAAAAGTTTTGTTTGGAATCAGAGCGTAAGCGAAAACAATAAAATTAAATTTCAGCGTATCAGTTTTATAAAGCAGTTTAGGTTATGGTGATTTAGCAGAACACAGGAAAGCAAGAAAATGTGTCACACTTATACCAAATTAAGGATGTTGAGTTATGTTACTAATGTATGCAACTTTAATTTTGTTTAACACTCTGCCAAAATAAACTTTATTCCCTATAACTTAAAATGTGTATATATATATAATAGTTTATTATGTACAGTTAATTCCACTGTTTTGGGCTGCAATAAAATTGATTTTGAAATAAATGAGATGTTGAAAATAAATTTTGCTAGCTGGGTTAGAAGCTTATCCTTTAAATTCTACTTTTCTTGAGGTAAAGTCTTAGCCTGGAAATACATATTACTGCAAAATGTAGCATTCTTTTTTTAGATATGAGCATTTTAGCTTTCATTTAGTTTTACGTTTAGTGTTTCAATGAATTGAGTTTCAAATATGAATTGCTATCATGAGTATCTTTAGCACTGAAGTCTTAGAATATATGGTTAACAACTGATTTACATATCCAGATGCTGTTTGATACCAAGGGCTTTTAAAAACGGCATTAAAAAAAAAAACTTAGAACTCCCAGCTAAACCATGATTCTTCACTGAGGATTTATTGCAATTCTAGAATTGTTTGGTTTTTTCACTTAACCTCATTACCTTAAAGCCTAGAACACTATTCTGCTTTATTTATATAACTTTCTCACTTTCGTTTTATAGCATGAGTTGCATTGACTTTTTTACTAGAGAATTTTACTAGATCTTTGTCACTCAAGTTTTCATCTGCTTTATAATTGATACACCTTGAGAATCACTTTTCTAATACTTATACAATAATATGGTACCACCTCAGCCCTGAGTAATATTTTTACCTAATGTCAAATCTTTTTCCAACTAACTAAAACTTAATGTACAAAAGGATTGCTTGTAAATATGCATGTAAATAGTTCTGTTAATAACCCACTGTTTTACATTTGGTACATTTGTGTCTGCTAATACAGTTAGCTTTCTCACTTTTCTGCTTGTTTGTTTCAGTCTGGATTAAAGTTAGACTTTGAAAATAAAATTTAAATAGTTTTGTTTCCTCTTAAGTTTTTGGAGTAGTATCCTGGTATTTTAAAGAATTTCTGTTGGACTTTTTTACATGACATCATAAAGTTATTTTATAAGACTGAAACGAGAGAAGCTATGCTAGAGTAGAAGAAACTATTCAATGTCTGTTGAATAAGAATTTCAATAAGAAATACATCTACTTGGAAAAACTAGCAAATATAAAACAAAACTTTTAGTATCCTTGTTGTAAAGAAGGGAAATACATATGTAATTGGGGTTTTTGGAACTTGTAATAGTCAGAATTCTTTTTTTCAGAATGGCTCCTAACATGGTGGCTGTTGCCTTAATCTGCAGTTCTCCAAAGACTGCTCACTGTAATCTCGGGAAGGGGGTGGAAGGAAGGGGCCGGCCATTAGACCCAGCCAAGTGTATGCTAACTGAATATACTTAAATTCTAGCAATTTCTCTGTAAAATAACCACCCAGTTTTATCCCCCTCTACTAGCTCATTGTCACCAACTACTGCTGTACTCACAACAGCTATGAACAGGATCAGTATATGTTCCAGTTTACTAGTGCTAGTGAAGTAACCACCCAGAGTAAGCGTGCTCCAACAGTAAGCGTTCTATTATACTCTGGCTCAGGAATTTGGACAGGAGCACAATAGAGTTGGCTTTTCTCCACCCTTCAGTGTTTGAGCCTCAGGGTGGCTTGAACAGCCAACAGCTGGAATCACCTAGAGTTATCTTTACTCCACTCACATGGCTGGTGACTGGGCTGAGAAGACTTGAAGCCATCATTTGACCAGAACCACCTATGCATGGCTTGTCTATATGGCTTGGATTCTCACAACGTGGCAGCTGGATTTTGAGAGAGGGCATTGCAGAAGACCCAGGAAGAAGCTGCATTTGGAAGCTGCACACAGCGTTACTTCCACTAGAGTCTCTTGGTTCCAAGTGGGTTGCTGTAAAGCCCTTTAAGGATTGTGTGGATGTGTTTTAAAACTGCAGCAGTAGGTACTGAAAGCAAGAGTTGGTCTTGTGACACAGCTGTTGGCCTTAGGGTTGCCCTAGCTTCAACAGAAACATGGGCCAGTCAGCCTTTTGTCAGAGGGATTATTAGTACAAGTCTTCAGTGAGCAAGGAAACAAAGGTTGCAGTGAATGTCAGTCTTGTGTCTGGTAACACTTTGCAAGTACTAGTCTGAGCCCGGCAGTCGTGTCATTGACTCAGACCCTCAGCCAGACTACCAGGACCACATCTGTACCGGAATATGTTGGGTGAGGTACGTGAGGTGAGGCAGAATATACACCATGGGGGACTGTTGGGTATGTCCATAAGAGGGTGTTAGAAAGAAACTATTACAGGATTTGGGCTTTGATTGCATAACTTGGGAGAGGGTCTAAAAAACTGGAGGTTCACTCTAGCCTGGATGCTGTCAGAAAGGAGGGGCAATTCTATGGTTAGGTATTTCATTCAGTCTTATTTATAGGGAGGACAAGAGGGCATGGATTAAGTTTTAATTTTTTTTTAATCTTACATTTATTTAGAGAGGATGCTTGGTATGGAAGAGTAAAAACCTATCCAAGACTGAAGGACTGGAAATCAGCTCAAACTGGAAAAGAAAGTAGCCCTGCTTGTTAATTGGGCTGGGAGGACAGACAGATAAAGCCAGCTGCAAATTTAATAGGAAACATTTTCCCCCAAGGTCATGTGGCTATAAAGTGCCATCATGATCCCCTCTTTGTGTGACCACTGCTTTGTTACCAATGATGCCTCCAGACCTGCTTTGCTGTCCTTACCCATCTTTTACTGGGGATCCGAGTTGCTAAACTGCCCTCACCTCATAAACTGCACCCAATCCCTAGTTAATCCCTGCTTCTAATTCTGCTGCAGAAACTGCATCCAGTCCCAGAACTGGACTCTCTTCCCTTAGAACTTCCTCAGAATTCTTCAGCAGGAACCCAAACCTTACAAAGGTGGTGCCCTCCTCCCCCTGTGGAAAGCAACTTCATGTTCCTCTGGAGTGTGCTTCCTTGTTTACAAGTCAAGTATTTTGTCAGACTGCAGGCTTGAGCCTGGTGGTCTTTGGCTGACTAAATATTAGATGTATTGTGTCAGCCTGGCAGAATGCCAGCCCTGGATGAACCTGACGCTGCTGCTGCATCCAGACAGCTGGAGGTCATGTTTCTGGTAGGTTTGTGCTACTGCAAAGTCATAGGCAGCACCTGGCTGTCAGTGCTGCCAATAATCTTTGTGTTTCTTCATTCTCCTGTTTAACTATTTCAAACCCTCTCCACTCTGTGTGCCCCTTTATCCCCTAAGTGATGATGTGCTTCACAGGAAAAAAAAAAAAAAGCCACCAGACGTGTACAAAAATTCATCTGCATGCACTTCACCCCTCCTCTTCCTGTGTGGAAGTATCCCTCTTCCTACTAAAGATTAGTTACTGAACATGTGCTTGAATCCCATGCCTTCTCACTCTCATGAACTATTGTTACTTGATCTGTAGTTAAATTTTTTTCTCCATTGGCCCTTTGCATGGGCTGTTGAACATGCCATTCCTATCATTAAAAGAAATCCGGCCCTCATATTTCTCTCCAACTGCAGTCCTGTCTCTGCTTCCTAGTCAGACTTCCAAAGTGTTATCCCATTTTTCCATTTCCTTACCTCCTATTTGCTCTCCTAACCCACTATAGCTTCTGTCACCAGTGACATTCATGTCATTAAATTGAGTAAACACTTCAACCTTTAGCGTGTTCTCTAGGCAATATCTGGCATTGTCAAGTGACATCAAAACTGAAAACATCTAGGCATCTACAATACAGTAGCTTGCTTTTCCAGCTTTATACTCTTTCTCAGTGTTCTTTTGGATGCTCTTCCTTTACCCTAATCTGTAAGTACCAGTGCTCCTCAAAGCTCAGTCCTAAGCATTCTTTTCTCATGTCACAATATCCTCGGACTACTTCATCTTCTGAAGTTTCAGTTAGCAGCTATCACCACTGACCTCCAGATTTATTTCTAATCTCCTGTTCTAGATCTTTGCTAACTTGTCATTTCCACCAGGAGGACTCATAAAATTTAAGTCACACTGTTCTCTAAATTTGCACTTCTCCCAAATCCCTCCCATTGACAGCACTGCCACCTCTCCATTTGCCCCAACCAGAAACCCTGGAACTGTTAACTTCCACTGTTAAATCATCCCAAGACTATAGAGTCTACCTAAATATATCTTGGAGCTGTGCTCTCCACTCTCACTGTGCAGTCTTGAGTTTGAACTACCATCATCTGTTGTGTTTTCAAAAGCCTTCTACTAGGCTCCACACATCTGCTCTTGCATCCTACAGTCTATTCTCTATTTGGTAGTTCCAGGAATCTTTCTAATACACAAAAAGCACCACAAAACCTCTCTGTAGTTAGAACTTTTATATAGGAGGTTCTTAGTAAAGGGGAAGAAAGAAGGATAGGACCTAAATTAGCACTGTGTAATAAAACTGATAGTACAGTTCAATGAATAAAAACATTGTCTGAGGATGCCCTAATTACACTTTACATACGATTGAGGTCAATTTGCATATCAGACTTTTAAAAATGGAGATAAATTTAAGGAGTTATATTCCTGCCCATTCCTCGATGCTGCCAACTTTGCTTTAAGCCCTTGTAATAGTTTACCATTGCTTTTAAGACAAAATCCATAATTCATAAATCTGTACTGACTATCTCTAAAGCCCCATTTTAGGCTTCTCTCCCCTAAGAGATCTTTAATCATTTTTAAACCAAACTTTCTTTCAGTCCATTTAAGGGACCAGATCTTCCCAAGGGTCTCGGGGCCTTAACACAGGATATTACCTCTGCTTGAAACACTTGCCCCTCTACTTTGCCAGGCTAACACCTACTTATCCTTTGGATTTCGGTGGAAACATTTCCTCAACCTGGGTTAGGTCTGCCCACTATGCTCTCACGGACCTCTGTATTTTATCTTAGGAACACTTAACACAACTGTGATCACATTATCGTCTAGTTGTTTCTTTCCAGTTAATTTTGTGAACGAAAAATACCGCAACCATATCAATAAACAAAGAGTGCTGAAACCATCAAATCAGCAGCAGCTGCCGCTACCCCCAGTGAAGAAGCCTGCAGCCCAGCCTCTGCAGCCACTCACAATGGTGCACTGAGGGGACTTAGAATAAGAAAGGACAGGATACTGGCCCTAAATAGCTATATGCTTGTCAAAGGAATGAATTCAATGAGCCCAAATGTTTGCTCTCTCCCATACATAGAAAAGAGCTAAATTCTTTAACTTGAGATACCTGGTTTTCTTCAGTTAACAAGTAATCTTTTAATGTTCCGACCACCTGGTCTTCGTTGTAAAACTCCTGTATATCCTACCTTCTCCCCTACCTCTTTGGAGCCGTCCCTCAGAGCAATCTGAGAGGCTGTCATCCTGGCTCGAGTCCTCCCACCGAATAAAACATAACTATCAACTTTTCGGCTGTGCATTTATTTCAGTGGACAATCTCTAGCCCCCGTGCTCCATCCTGGGGTCCCATTCCCTGCTTTATCCCCAGCACCCCTAGCACACACTACTAGTTTCTCCATAAATATTCTAGCGGCACCAAATATAGCAGAGACGTCAACTTGCTATTTGAGGGGAAAGAAGGCGCAGAGACACAGTTGAAAGACATTTTCTGATAAAGTATTTAAATAGGAAAAGTAGAGGTCTATCTTTGGTCAAGTTTTTTTACAGCCTTATTGAGATATAATTGTTTAGATTATTTAAATAAGCATCACTCCGCTAAAATCCACCTTTACAGTTATCTTGGCTAGGCCATCAGAACGCTGATCCTCACCCACCTTCCCGCAACCAGGTACCACCGGTTCCTTCTTTCTGGGGTACCAGAAGTAAAAACCGGAGACAAGTCCACCGGCTTCCGGACTGGGAGCCCCGCCTCCCGACTTCCGGTCCCGCCTTTCCGACGCAAGCGACTTCCGGCCTTCCTTCCTAAAGCGGAGCGACCGGGAAGATTTGAATCGCATTTGTTTGCGTTTGCTGTCTCTCCGGGCTGGCAGCTAGGGCTGCCGCTTTCTCCCTCTGCTCCGACTTGACGAAGGACCCGGGAACACTCTCCTTGTGTCCTTACTCCTCTCGGTTATGATTGTTTTCCTTCATCGAGAAACATCACTTGCTGGTAATTTGTCAAATTCAAGAACTGTTCCTCGGGAAGCAGTTGTGGGCGGGTGCAGAGGCTGCGACTTGGAGCATTTTGGCAAGTGAAAGCACAAAGGCCGGTGATTGGCCTCATTTCCACGACTTTTGGGCTCAGAACTGCTTGATGTGTGAGTCCAAGACGTTGGTAGTTGTTTCGATGAGGATTTTTCTGTAACTAGATAACGCATTTTGAAAAATGAAGTTCCTGTTAATGTCAAGAACGAACTTGTGGCCTTTCGATCCTTAAACACACTCTGACGTAAACTGCTGGCTGGGTGGTGAAAATACGAACAGGAATAAGACACTAGAAATGTGGTTGGAAATGTGGGTTGGAGCCGGATTATGTTCTTTTAATGATATTCCGGGAACTTTAGACATTCCACTGTTTCTTGTGTGTGCTTCATTATTTAAGTGATCTAAACAACAATTATGTTTCAGTAACCTGTTTTTAAGTTGGCTAAAGATAAAGACCTTTTTCCAATTTATATCAGAAAATATGTTTTCTAACTGTGTCTCTGCTCCTGTTTTTTTCTAAAATAGTAAGTAGACGTCATAGGTATATATGATATATGTAGCTGAAATCTAAATATATTTATTGCTGTGAATATTTATTGCCACTTAACAAGTATGTAAACAAGTGGTGTAAAGTGGTTGGTAGGGTCTGGATTGTGGAAAGTTACCTATGACAGCAATACTGGAAATGGATTGGAGAAGGGAAAAAGTGGGAAAGGGTCCCAGGCAGTTTACAGGAGTTGAGGGGAGAACTGATGGCCTGAAATAGAAAATGAGGAGCCAGGTTTATGAAGGAGACTTAAAAAATCAACAGGACTTGTTATAGGGTTGTAAAGGGAAACAAGTCAAATATTGCTAACATTGAGATGCTATTAACTCAAATTGCAAAATCAGGAGGAACAGAAAGTTTTTAATTCACATATATTTCATCATTGAGTAAATATTTACTGCACTCTTATTGGCCAAGTATTGTTTTAGATTCCAGGAATACAATTGTGAATAAGACAGATGAGGTCCCTGCTCTGACTGAGTTTATATCCCAGTGGGAAAACACAAAAAGCAAGTAAATAGACAGAATCAGTTTTGATAGTAATCGATGTTATGAAGAAAAAAATGGATAAAAAATGACTAGGAGATGTTAGGAACAACTTTAACTGAGATGGTCAAGTCAGGCCTTTGAAGAAGGTAAGTATTTGTGCTGAGATATTAATGGAACCAAAAACCAACATGTGATGAGGCAGGAAAAGGACATGCTAGGCAGAAAGAACAGTGCAAAGGTTCTCAGATGCGACACAGCGCGCCTTAAAAAAAAAATTAGTAAGGCCAACATAGCTAAAGTGTCCTGAACAAGAAGGATTAAAAGATAACATTAGAGTGGTAGATGGAGGCAGACTGCATGGCTTTTATATAGGCCATGGTTAAGAATTTGGATTTTATTCTAAGCGCAAATGTTGGGTTGTAAGTCAGGGAGTGTTAGATCTCATTTTTATTTTAAAAGATCCCTCTGGCTACTGTTTGTAGACTGGACTTGAGGGAGGTTAGAGTGAAAGTGAATTAGGGGATATCACAGAAGTCTACTTTTGGTGGGAGTGATTAAGTTCCATTTTAGTCATTTGAGTTTGATTTATCTGTAGAAGAGGGACATGAAGAGGTTTCCAGCAGGCAGTGGAAGCTCTGGAGAGAGGTCAGGTAGATTTGGAAGTTCTCTACAGAAAAAAAATGATTACAGTTATGTGACTCTCCTCAGGAGAGATCATGTGGTTTAAGATTTACTTATATTCTGACATATTCCACAAAGGATTATAGGCCAAGTCATATGTAGCTAATGCATACATTGAAAAGGGGTAGGATATTTTTAAAAAGCAAGGGTGGCATAAAAGCAACACAAGTGTATATAGTAAGAAGAGATGACATGGGGACTAACCAAGGTCAGGTCTTGATGAATACTTGATATGAGAGAATGGTGAGGAATAGATTAAAGAGGAATAGAGGAATGATTAAACATAAAAGAGCAGTAGATGGAGTGGGAGTCAGGGGGACCATGGAAGCCCCCCTCCCCCTGAAAAAAGGCAGAAGAGGAGAGTTTGATGCAAGGGAAGATAGACCACCCTGTCACAGGTTGACCAGTTTAGTAGGATGAAGACTGAAGTAACTGGGCATAGGAAGATACTGGTAACCGGTGTGAAACAATTTCAGTGGAGAGGTGGAGGGGAAAGCTGGATTGCAATGGACTGAAGAGTGATGCGAGAGAAAGTGGACCCTGAGTGGATACTACACCTGAGAAATTTATTGGTAGGAAATGGTGGTAAACTGGGGGAAATGGTATCTATGGAAATTCCTGTCAGGTTAAACGTGATCACCTGAGTAGCAGGAGACGATGTCCTAGAAGGGAATGGGATTCGTTTTAGAAAAGAATCATAAAATGTATTGAGCTCCTAGAAGGCAACATTCACACCACTGGCACTGCCATATGTGTTGTCTCATTTAATCCTCACAGCAGTCCTGTTACCATCCCCATCTTGCAAATAAATAACCAACCAACCAACCTGAGGTCTATTGCTAGTAAATGGTGTGTGAATGGAACCCAACACTCTAATTCCCCTTCTGTCATATCTGTATGGAAAGCATAAGTGAAGAGACAGAGACATTTTAGAGGTAAAGAAGAGGAAAGTGAATTCAGTGAAATAAGGATGAATCTAAGACACTAGGCAGTGAATTAGCTTTCTGAGTAGTGACATAGGGCTACTTCCTTAATGCCAGGCTAGGAACAAGAGTCCAGGTGCCCATTTCCCTCAGGCCTAGTAGTTACTTTTGGCCTGCCTTTTGCATTATTACGAATGATTTGCTGCATTCTTACTGCAAAGGTGGAATTTGCTTGTTATCTGAAATGAGATAGTGAGCATATGATTTTTAGAAGTTAAACTTCAGAAGAATAAAACTACTAAAATTGTAAAGGCAATTATAAAGCTATAAAATTATAACTTGGTGGGTTATCTTCTCCCTCTAAGTTATCTTCCCACACTGGAGTAAAGCCTTTGGGGTTAATCAAGGCATTCTGTTAAGGATGTTAATTTCAGATCACATAAGTGTGTGGAGTAAGATAATCATGTTTCTCCAACAAAAGTAAATGCAATGACAATGTTTTGCTTTTGTTCTTAGAAAATTCTTCCATATGTTTTGACAGAGCTTTTGTACATTAAGAGAACTATTTGTGCAACTGTATTTCTTTTTTCCCTCAGTCTTTGCCTTGGAAGGACATTTTATCCATAGTCACAGAAATGGCAGCTGAAATGCAAATGATACTTTATGAAGATGATTCAGTGCAAGTACAGTATTTTGATGGTTCCAGATTGCAGCTTTCTCCCTGTGGTTCTGAATTTTTATTTGAAAAGGCACCTCCTGTTTCAGCACATCCTTTAGAACAACCAGAAAGAATTCGCCAAAGAACACACTTTGTTATTAGCACTTACCGAGTAAGTAAAGATGACACAAGAACTACTCTTTTTTAATATTAAAATATTGTTGAGGTGGCCAGAATATGGAAAGTAATTAGTATTCTGGATTACTGTAACTCTAAATTGATTTTCAAATCATTTTTAAAGATTATTTTGTGTTTCTTTGTAGGAGCAGCTACAGCGAGCCCTGGATTTCCGAAACTCTTTTGCTACTTGCCCTTTTTTATCTGAAAGCATCATACCTTCAGAAAGAAAAAAGGTAATTTTTTTAAAACCTCATTTTCAAAACAATTATTTGAGGACAAGTAATTACAAACAGGTAGTTTAATGTTTAGTCTTTTTCTTCATGACACTTGGGAGTAGACATGTTGCTGTAGAAAGCATAGGCCTGTATATTGTACCAGACTAGGGTGTTTTGATATTTTGTACATCGAGACACAGAAGTTATATAGCTC